CGTGACGTATATATATATATATTTTTATATGTATAAGGACGCACGCACGTTTTCACGCTAGCAATCGGCGGCTTTGGGTATCGACCTAAATGTTACCTGGTCCGCTCCAATATGATGACCACAGTCTCTCGAACGCCGACGTGTTCCAATTGGAGGCTCGAAAGAAAACGACGAGGACGGCGACATGATTTCCTCGTTAATCACGATGATTACGCCATTTTCGTGCGCGCAATCAGTCCCGAAAGAAACCGTTGTGTCGCGTAACTGGTTTAAGGAAGGGCAGATCTCCGACCTTCTTTGTGAGCGATTTCAACGGAATTTTTCGAGAAATTAGTTCTGCTCGGAACCGTTTAATCTCATGATTAAGGTAATGGTGATTCCGATAGATTTCCGTATGCGGGTCAAGAGAAATCGAAAGCAAAGCTCTCAGAAACTACTATACAAACTACTTGTCACGATTAAAATATCTAATGGGTACTTTGTCAAATTTTTTTAGCGCTGTCGAGATTAATGCATTATGAGTTCCTCAAGAGTACAGACGAGATATATAGAAAAAAGGAAGAAGGGGAGAAGAAATGCGCACAGATACGGAGCACGTGTAGACCGAGAGCCACTGATTGCGAGAGACACGCAACAATCGCTGCAATTGACCGCGTAATAGAAACGCGTTATGCAGGCTGCGGCAGGGGCCGGTAGGATACTGGTCGACCTTGAGAGTGAACATGATTCCTGCGTTTTCCCTTTTACAGAAGGGTTCCGCGTTCGCGTAATTGCCACGTTACGCTCGACCTTTTGCAAAATTCGTGCGCGATAGATAAGAGTGAGCGAGAATCAGTCTCGCATTAGCTAGCCAACTAGACAATCTATCTCGACTTTTATCGATTCTATGAAGCGAATCTAACACGTGACACTATAGATTACAATTTATTACAATTATACAATAGTTCTCCTAATACATAGTTCAACAAAGACATTCAATTGATTACGAAATTTACGACCGTTCTTGTTTGCAATTTTGCATTCTGCTTCGCGATCGTGCACGCTCTGAATTGAAGACGTCACGCCGATTACTAAATATAACATTAGTCATTCATCAGAAAACTTTGAATTGTACCACGCGATAAATTACTGCGAAATCGACATTAATGCGGAAAAATTCACTGACTTCTGATCCAATTCGAATCGGATAAAGAGTCGTGAGATCGATCGATGGATCAACTTTGGGAACGATTGGGAAAGGGCGAGACCGCGTGAGAGACAAGCCGCGGAATCTCTGTCCGGATTAGATAGCTCTAATTTTTTATGGTAAACAGATGAAAGTCCGTGCCATACTTAGATTGAACAACGAAATGTATGCAAAACAAATGCAAATGTATCCCGGCAAGTTATACCAAGATTTCTCTTGTTTTGCATGGTTTTGCTTTGCCTCCGTACATACATAATTTTCCAGCCATTCGGTTTATGTGATACTTTGTTTATTATCAAAGATATTCAACTTTGACACGTGTCATGTTGGTAAAGCAAATGAAATAAAGAATGAGAGCAAAGAAAAAAAACAAAAAAAATTTTTTAAATGTTCCTAAAAAAGAAGAACACAAATTAAATCTAAAAGAAATTAGAATTTTGATATTATTTCACATGTTCAATATAAAATCTGTTTTTAAAAGAAGTTAGATAATTTTCTAAAATGCAAACAATGTGTAAATATAAAATAATAATAATAATAAACTAGTAGTAATAAAACATTTCTCATTGCCAGTCAAAAACAATTTTTGTAGCCGCATATAAAAAAGTTAACAATTACTAAAAAGCAATTAACAATTACGAAAAAATAAGATAAAAATAGAAGAGTTTATTTATCTTATATAAAAATGGGGAAAAGAATACTACAAGAAAAAAAATAAATTTAAAAAAACTCTGAAATACAGGAATTTTAAAGGGTAGTTTTCGTAGACTCAGGTAAAAACTCGTACGATGATTTCACAATATGAATTTTCTACCTGACTGTGAGTTGACTGAATAGCAAGGAATAGCTACAGGAAAAATGTCGCCTGATCTCCGCGCAAACAATGAAAATTTCCGAAAAAAGGGGCCTTCCTCTTAATAATATATTGCGGTAGCATTTTAATATATGCGAGTTGTGAAAATGTAGATCATCGGGGAAACAGCCTGGATGACTTGTCAATTATAAAAAATAATAATTGACAATAAACTTTAACAACGCGATTAAACGACCATCGAGGAACTATTGCATATTGAGGATTGCATTCGAGGAATACCGCGAGGGACATTATCGAACACGTATAAATAATCATCAAATCAAAAAGCATTTGAGAAACCGGCCGTGATTTATCGTGCCATCGTATCGTGGCCTCCGTACATAATTTTCCAGTGAATTGTAGGGTAGCTTAATTGACACGTCACCTCTTCTCGTGGTCTACACGGAGCCATCCGTCTTACCTTCGATCCACGCGTCGGCCTTAAATCAATTCCGGGTACGGACAAATTACCAAAAGGGATTAATGGCTTCAACGCCGGCCCTAATTGGCCCCAAATCATGCGAAGCAGCCTCGCCTGATCGTTGCCTCGCCCTTCCGACGCAAATGGCGGGAAATACACCCTCGCTCGATTTTATCTTGTCGCCGAAGTCAATTCTACGCCTACGTGAAATTAATGAATATCCTTTTTCGACGGTTACTTGTAATCCTGAGATTGCGCACGCCCGCATGTGAGAATATATATATATATATATAAATGTATCCAGATAACCTTTAGAATCTTTGAAATTACGCCGTACCTTGGTGGGTGGATGAATGAATGGGACTACCCACACGCTGACAATGAAACGCGTTTGCTAATCTAATGCTATTCCACTAACTCATCCGTGCCTGTAATAAGAATTACGAAACCTCGGTTCCATTTATACGGTTAGAGACCTGCCTCGGTGATTCGAAATTTCAGTGTGAGATGTCAAAGAATTTGAGGGAAATGGATGGAACGTAATAATCATTAAGAATCGTTGGATATAACGCAATTTATAAAAAGTGACCCATCACTCGCTGCTGACATTTAAAAAGGAAGAGATTTAAAAGATTCAGTCCATTAAATCACTGAATGATACAATAAAAGTCGTTAGTCGTTTGTGAAAATTAAAAGTTTCGCGTCTATACTACTCACTTTGTGCCTTTTGAAAAAGCGTTTTAGTGTAAAACTTGAAAGGAAAGGGACGATCGGTAAAAAGATCAAGAGACAAAAAATGTGAAGCGAAGGGAAGTTGGTTGAATTGAAAAAATAAAACCTTTTGTCAATGATCGAATTTATAATGGATCTATTCATTTTTAGGGGAAATAAACAAGCAGACTCTCAACTCATTATTTCAATATATAGTTCAATATATTTATGCGCTTGAAACAAAAGATAAGATACTGTACCACAAATAAAAAGGTAGTACATGTGTGATGACAAGTTTGGAACAAGCACAACAAAAATTAAACATATTTTCTTATACTGTTAAAATTTTAAAACTTTAACTTGAGAAAACTTACTAAAAAATATTATATGTGAATGCTAAATTTGCTTATCGCGTTTTTGATAATTTTTAAAAATGTTTACAGTGGCAAAGAAATGAATAAGACAAACATAACATATTTTGATCAGAATAAAATATTGCAATAAAAATTATATTATTTTAACAAATTTAATTAACATTGATTTGTGTCATAAAATTGTTTTCCTCTGTTCAAAATAGTGACGAAACCAAAGAGATTTGAACAAAACTTTTGTATATAATTATCGATGGAATAAGAAGAGTAAAACGTTTGTCGAAAGAATTAATGTTCTCACGCGTACTCAATTTATTCTGCCTTGCTTGGATTCATTTCATATGCATGGACAGTTAAGAGTATACGCCAGACTTTACACGCATGCGTTCGCTCTAATGCAGTAATCGAGTTAAGAGCAAACTGACGTCACGCGTATGTGACGCGAGACAGGCTTGGTGGAAATTTGTATGCAGATTTATTTTTTTTTTTTTTCGCACGGATCCATAATTAATACATTTTAAACTAACGTGCCTGTTTCTGTATGTGCAGAGAAAAAATGTGTGCCTGTACGACTGAGATATATACGGATAAATCGTCCATTAATACGCGTCGATCGTGCGATCAACGAATCGGTATGTAAAAATATTCGTAGGCGGATTGACACGATTGGACGAATTAATTTGATTTCGAGAGATTCGTTTGCGTACGAACACGTCGCGTTCTCAAATATAAATCAACTGAGAGTCCGAAAGCGTTGTACACATGCCAGATTGCAGAAAACTTTTTTTTAATTTTACATTCTGTTGTGTCGGCCCTTGATTTCTACGAGCAGATTTATCCTTTTAATTAATATACCGCTGAATATGCCGTAGCTCTTTAATTATAAGGCTTCATGAATAATGTGAAATCACGATTACGGAATGACGAGTTCGTCTTAAATCGCGATAACATAATTGTGATACGGTGTGAACAGTAATTTGCACGCAACAACGTAGGAAATTTGCGATTGTTTGGTCGAGTCGTACCATCGCCATGCGATATTTGCTGGTGTGATATTAAGCTGTCACACAGAAGGCGATAATGCGAACGACTTATCGCGCTCACGTGCAAGAAGCCAAGTGCTTCGGCATGGCGTACGTGGGCGTGTTTGTGATTTACACAAGTGCGGTTTATTTCTCATATAATGCCCGCGCGCGAAATCAATCACTCGGCGATTAATCCGCGAGATTCGCTAATTATTGGACCAGCTGCGCCGTTCTCGGCTCGGTTATAAATCTTGTTTCGCAACAAGTACGAACGGACGAATCAGTGATTAAAAAAAAAAAAAAAAGAAGAAAAACATAGTACTTATTTGCGTCATGTCCGCAGGCGTCACATGTATTTTCGCGAAAGCTATACATGTAGCCAGTAAATAAATCCTCGTGTGTGAAAGAGACGTTACAGAATTTCCATCATTTATTAGGAACGACCCGGTTCGCCTTGTGTCATCATCGACATTGCCAATACTTTACTATTCCTCTTCCTCTCCTTCTTTGCAGGGCCGTACTGCTGAATCTCGCGCTTGATTATCTCAATGTCATTCCTTAAGGCGTCCAGCGACTTTATCGTCCTCTCCATCTCACGCAGCACAGGCCTGGGTCAATGAACCGTGAATGACATTGACCGAAATCGCTACGCACGAAACTAACAGATCTTACGGAGCCATCAGCAGCCCGCCTTCGAGCCTCCTCTCGTCATGAGCTTGTCGTAAATCTCTCAGCATTAAATGGAGCTTATTGACGTCCTCTCGAACTCTGGCCGTCCGTTCACGATACTCGTCCAATTCGCGTTCTTCAAACTCGATGTCCTCCGCGAGGCATGTCTCCTTTTCCTTGTAGTGAGCGACTCCGTTAACCGCTTCAGCGATTCTAATTTCGATTTGCCAACAAGATCTATTAATAAAATCTCCTCGTTCCAATAGATGATTAGAAAGATATATCGGTAATAATAATTCATTTGTCGCCTCAAGTCAAAGATCTTTTATAGTAAAGCTGCGACACTAGATATCTCTCCAGATAACTCTATCTGAACCAGTAAGGTGATTTATAAAATATTGCCAGCACAAAAATCATAATGTCAAACACGATATTTCTAATTTCAAAATATTAAAAAAAAAACATCGAATGAAGACATAATTTTTTTGAGAGGCTTTCTCAAGTTTTAATATGATATATTGTGATTCTTAAATATTTAAGATTTGTGAATATAAATATAAAGATAAAATTTTAACGCGCACTTGTTGCGTAATTTTTCTAGCTCTCTGTCGCGTTCGTCCAATTTATCCTTGTAACTCACATGAGCGATGGATAAAACCTCATAATCCATGGCAGTCATTCCTTCCCCCAGGGTTTCCAGATTTCGCAGCAGCGACTTTATCTCGTCGAAACGATGTTGCAGGACGATATACTCGTAACGATTGCGGGCGAGAATCTCGCGTCGTGACATCTAGCAATGAAGAAGTCCTCACGTGAGCCTCGGAAACGCTAACATGCACGCACGGCTACTTTAATTGGTATATGCCGCATAATTGCTGTAATAGACAAGTGATGATTCACGGTCATTAAGTTACACCTGCCGACGGGTTATCTCGTTGACAGCCTTCTCTGTGATCTTTCGTCCGGTCTTTGCGTAAATGAGTCCCGTCGCCACTTCCCTCTCGCGATCCAGGAGTTCGTCGAATACTCCTGCGTTCTCATCGCGCATCCTTTGCATTTTGTCTTCGTAATCCTGCATATCGGCCATCGCCCGAGCTCTCCTCTCCGTTACATCATCGAGCTGCAGTTTATACGCACGCAATGTTTGTCTATAAATCTGCTCCATTTGTTCGGATTCCTTCATCCCGTCCGTAGATATCACTTTCTCTTGCGTCTGCATGCGCATCGTGATAAGAGTTGTTTTTATTAAAAGCAGCGACTATCATCTTTGCGTTGTATATGTGTATTTGATATATTATCTTAATTACAACGCGAGAGATCAGAAAAGAAATAGAAATAAAGTTTATAGCTAATTGCGATATGGAATAAAAATCAAATAATGTATATATGTAAAATTTATTCTCTCTATATAATCTCTCTCCAGTCATGAGATGTGAAAAATATAAATTATTGAAGTACTTAACCTTTTTTATGTGCTTAGAAATCCACACCTCAAGAAGCCTGTTTTTCCTTCGTAATTCTGCTTGCTCGGCTAGAAATTCTTTCAATTGTCTAATCATTGTCTCGCGACTGGCAAAAATCTGCGCTGGCAATTACATTAAATCTCAGTACAAATGGCGCGGTGCGAGTATTTAATTTATAATTATGTTCCCTTTTTAATGTACGCATTTACTATCATCATATTATTATTTTTATGAAAAGACTTAGAATGCTCGGGGGGAAGCATTTTATTATTACCATTTCAATCGATCACAATAACAACGTAACACAAATTGTATACAATGCGGAAATACTTTCAGGCGGAGGAGCGTAATGAGAAGGGAGGCTTAAGTCTTTAGAATATTACGAAGGTCGTGAGGCACAGTAATTCCACGGGTAGAATGACGCAGAATGACAAGTTTATGCGAACCTCGACTGGTATCTCAGCGAGCACGTGATCGGGCTCTATCACTTCTTGTACTTCCTCTTCGGGCTTTTCTGCCGCGGTAGAGATTGTCGCAATAGACGGCATATCCCTTTTCTCTTCCACTTCCTCGTCCTCGACACTCCGTTCTCCGTACCTTTCTTCCTCATTATATTCATGCTCCCCCAGTTCCTCATCCCGAATAAAAGACTCATCCGCTTCGTGTATATCCTCTTCCGTTTCCTTCTTCTCTTCTTCTGAAATTTCTTCGCTCCTCAGTACCGAATTTGCATGATCCTCGCTCGCATCGTTGGCATTCGTATATAACCTTTCTTTGTCGTTCTATTAAAAAAAAAAAAAAAAAAAAAAAACAAGGGAAAAGAAAAAATGGCACGTTATCGAATTTTTCATGCGATGTTCATAAATTACCGCGGTCGCTATCTCGTCGGCGACTCCGCCGTCCACATCGTTCTCCATCATTTGCTTCATCACATCGAGACTTGGTTTAAATCGATAAATGTAAGCGGTCGCGCCCCAGGACGCGGAGCAGGGAATGCCGTGGAAAAATGGGGCTGGATAACAGCTGCCAGACGATGAAAACAGTCGAACGAATTCACCGCGACCGGATCGACGCTTCTTCGCGATGGAGGCCCCCGAGCCGCATGCGGTCGACCTTGACGATCGGTGATGATCTTTTCTCTTATATACGCGTTTCTCCGCCGCGTTGGTTTAACTCACGCTCACGCAGGCACCGCTGAGAGGAAAAGTTTCTCGCAGAACGTCGATTAAACTGCTGCGAGCTACCGGACACCGTCGGTGCGGATGCATGGTGCATCCTGCGGCGCGCAGGGTATGATTTCATCTCCGTGTGCTTTATTCTCAAGTTTATTTATGGGATCAGAAAGAAATATTTTTATCGGCTCTCAATATTAAGAATATAAATATGTTTTTTAAATAGACCAACAGAGCCAAAGCACGAAAAATTAATTATTCGGAACTGTATTTCTTGGTTTGAGATCACTAAGTTCCATATATAAATTAATCTCGAAACTTCTTCATATGTAAGTTTCGAGATTAATTTATATATGGAACTTAGTGATCTCAAACCAAGAGATACAGTTCCGAATAATTGATTTTTCGTGCTTTGGCTCTGTTGGCCGATTTAAAAAGCATCATATTTATTTATTTATAGGAGACTCATTCGATCACACATGCGAGAGCCGCACATGATGGCAGTAATATAGTGAGTTGAAACCCGAGTATCTTTCGTTCGCCGGACGTTAAAGCGATGGGAATTAACAACGGCACGTACGTAATTCGTCAGGAATAGAGAAGAAAAAATATACGATGCAGCATAATGCTTCGTCATCGCGTTTCTTTTCGTTCGAAGGGAAAGTGCATTTCTATTTCATAATCTTATACAATAACATCGTAAAATGTCGATTGAGTATATAATTATTTAATTCGAATCTTTTAATATTATTTTTAGACACTTATTTTTATACTTATTATTTTATATTTATATGAGTATATGATGAATCAAATTAATTAATATGTGCTTTTAAGATATACACGATGCATATCCATATTTATGTAGACATATTTATTTAAGAGACTCAAATACACAAATAACTTTGCTGTTTAATATATCTGTTATTTATTATTCAGCACTCTTCCCACGTTTCTAAATGATAATGTCTGCGTATATTAATTCCTGAATCTTTTATTTCTACATTATTGTCCATTGCCATTTTACAACGCGCAGGGAAGCTAGTACTTTCCGTTCAATAATGCTGCGTTTTATTTTTAAGCGACGCTAAGAAAGGCAATACGTGCCAACGAAAGTGACATTACAATATGACGAACATGTGCGCGCTGTCGTTTGATAGTACCTTTTGCATTTTATGTTTAGTCCTACTGGGATTAGATGCCACATAAAAACAAAGAAAGAAGTAAAGACAATATGAGGAAGACGAAAAGGGACGAGTAGAGGTACTTGAGACAACGTGGGCAGCCGCTAGCGCTGCATTCTTGTAGGATCAAGGATCCCTGCCTGCTTCGTGTATGCATTTACATATGCAGATACACGTGTGAGGAGCTTGGACGTGCGGACTAGCGACACAGATGTGTGTTCACGCACATGTATTACTGCTCACGAAAGTAAATGTGTCACTTATATATATGTGGAATGATATAAAGGTGCTGGCCTCTTACGCTCTGACTGTCTCAGTATCGCATACACATTTTTTATCACATTCGTGTTTGCAGGGAAAAAAAGCGTGTAAAATTACGAAAATACCCTTGCAAAAATTTGCTGATGAATTTTTGATGAAAGACACGAACGTGCGAAGTTCTTTTGAAGAAATGACACGGCATCTGTATTATAAACATTATACTTCTTACGGCATCGTATATCTCACACATATATTTTCTGATCTAGAGAAAATGGAAGAACACATGATTTATTTCGTAGAGATACGTCGCGACGTAGAGCGTATCGGCATGCGCCATAGAGTTTCCAGACTCCGCGAGGAAAGACATTCGTTCATCACGGTCGCACCAAGTATGGAATCGAGATAGCGCAGTAAGAAAGCAGTTTATGCGGCGTGACGAGTGACAAGCCGAAGACAGACGTGCCACGCGGAAGACATCGAACGTGGGGATTCGCGCGAACGTTCGAGGAATCCATCGCGAAAGAGCCGCGGGTCTCTTTTTCCATTTAGTTTTATATATATATATATATATGCATGTACATAAGGCACACATCAGTGTTATGTAGTATATGGCCGGGTGTGTCCAGGCCGTTCGTTGGCCTTTCCTCGGATTTGATTTCCTTTCGAATCGCCGCATATTCCCGACTC